AGCTTTCGAATTTCGTTAAAAAAAGAAAAGAAAGGCAACAACAATTTTTGCTATATCTTTTGTTTTTATTTCTCACTTTATATGTGGGTTATAAGTATTTACAAAATAAATATTCACAAATCAAAATAGCTAGATATGCTCTCTTGGGCATAGTTAATTTGAAAAACGTTGTCGAAGAGAATAGCGATCAAGTAGTGTTTAAAAAACGAGCAGGAGTGCTTTATCGGGAGATATAGACACGAGGCCRAAGGCCGAGTGTCTATATCCCCGATAAAGCACGACTGCGAGTTTTTTATACTACTTCTAGAACTCCAACATCCARAAATTGTTATCATTTTAGAAAAAAGCTAAAAAGTGCGAAAACAGAGATTATGCATGTTAAACTTCTACTGAGCATGTGCATTTGTCACAAATGAAAGAATTTTGATCCCACACGTAAGAACGGCTAGTCTATGCTATACYGCATATCTGCACATTGATTCAAACTGATTTAAAACCTAGCAAAGGTCTATGATGCGACATTAAAACTGAGACCTTTGCTAGTGTTGGGTTGCGATAAAGCGCTGATGACCTTCAACATCAGTTCTTTATATCTGATATAGAACTGATTAATAAAACATCAGTTCTATATCTCTGATATAGAACTGATTAATAAAACATCGGTGCTTTATCGGGATATAAAGGTCCATCATGTGACCCAATAGTTGGATTCTGATTGGACTAATAGCTCATGAATTATTAATGAGTTCTAGAAGGATTGAATAGAGATTGCAAAACCAAAAGTAACTCTGTGTAAGAAAAATCCTGCAAGAATCAACTCATGCAAAAGACGTTCATGCTGGATAAAATCATATAATTGAAGATTTGTCTATGGGCCGTTTTCTAACTGGTCATCTTCGCAAGGTTTTGTTACACCTAACGAGCCGGCTCACATTTGATTTACTTTTTCTTACAAAAGTGGAAAAGGAAAAAATAACACCAAAAAGATAGAAAATAAGAATAAAAATCTATTATGAATCCCTTCGAGTTGTGCACTTTCTATTCAACCAAATANACAATGCAAACAATTGGTGGGTACCAGTCCTCACGGCATAACACTTATACTCGCCAGTGCATGTGTAGGTTTCCATAGCGACGTGAGATGCAGGAGAGGATGGTGAGTCATCTGTTGAGAATTATTCCATGGGTCAGACAACAAAGTAGTCTCCTCGCAGCCGCTCTTAGTGGCGGGCTCCCTGTCCCCCGCCCCACAAACGGCTGCTTCAATCCGAGCTTTGATCGTTTCCCTTTGTCTTTTTCCTTCTTGGGGGTCTATTTGAATTAACCAATCACATACCATGACAGTCTACTCCCGCTGTTACCGCTAAGCCAATGAGATGCAGYGTAATGAAAGTTGATATTTTGTTTGCGCCAAACTTCGTAAAACCGTTAAAACTCATCCGAATATATCAAGAAATCAGTCAAGATSTTTTRCTTKTTCTTCCCTGMCGRTTRGCAAAGATAAGTTTTACATCTAGTTTGGGAAAACAAGTACAGATAAAAATAAAATTATATCATTTAAAATTATAAAAAGATTCTTTGCAAGTTGACGTAACCACGTATCCTGCCGATGCAGATTTGTTTGTCTGTAGACAATGTTTTCAAAGCTTGAATAATACGATTGCGCTTCAAAGAAACTAGAAGACACGGAAAGAGCTTAAACAGTCTTTTGTTCAGCAAGAGAAACGACCACGAGCAATAGTTACAAGGGAATATGACGGAAGTCAGAGTGCCACATGTCAACACCAAGAGCTGCGAAGTATCCTGGACGTTTCGTTGAATCATCGAGAACTTTAAGTAAAGCTTAAAAAAATAAAGGATTTATCGAAACCAGTATGTAAATTAACAAACACATCTCAATTTCCATCTATAAGCTTTGTAATGGGAAGCTTCTTGGGGCAATTTAAGCACGATATCTTGAATTTTTGAGAAGCAAAACAAAACTATCCGCGATGTCACCCGCCATGTTCAGTATCATCGCACTTATAATACGCGAGTTCCTATTGGTCAATAATTTTGGCGGGAACTGCTGCAAGAAAATGAAAGCCGAACTGTGATTGGAGAAACGATTACAGCTCGGATTGAAGCAGCCGTTTGTGGGGCGGGGGACAGGGAGCCCGCCACTAAGAACGGCTGCGAGGAGACTAACAACAAAGAGTATCACATAAAACTATCAAAAGCGGTTTGATATACAGTTATTTCAAGAAACGTTGTCGGGCAGAACGGCGATTGAAGAAGGGAGATTGCACTCCCGAAAGGGACTATGGTTACACTGTTTTGATAAAATTCCACTTATTGCATAGTTGCTATGCTTATGAATTTCAACTTACTGGGTGATTGATTTGCGACCAGGCCTGCATATGAATTCGCCAAGGTTGTAAGCCAGTGAGCCCGTGCATTTTTGTGAAGCGGTCATATTTGAAAGTGTTAATAAAGAAAAGGGAAAACCCGCAGCTCGCCTTTCACTTAGACAAACAGTACAAGTCGTGTTAAATTTATTTACATAACTAAACAAAATGATTATAAAATTAACCCTTTAAGAATTGAATGCTCATATGAAACATTTTCCACCTTAAATACACACGTGTTTTTCAGAAGGGAATTTAGTCGAACTTTTTTCACGATGGAATTTTGTTTTGAGTCGTTTCGACATAAACAGTCGCTATCAAGACATTACACGAAAAACCCCAGTCACCGTTCTAGCTCTCGTTGTAAGGTCAGAGCTAGTAAATGTGTAACTGGCCTGTTACATAACGTCAAATCGTCGAGCACGCTTGCGGCTTATTGCCGAAAATGCGACAAAGAATGAACTACGACCGTTGTTTGTACCAAAAATAACAAACGCTTTAACTCTATTGGAATACGTGGACCTAAGCTGCTCTAGCTCTTCCAGTGATGTTGTAGATACCTCAAAGCTTAGAGGAAACAAGAGCTAAGAAAAATGATTTGCAATGGTTCCTCCTAAGATACATTGGACTTGAACGTCGCTTCAACGACCTTCTGAAGTCTTCGTGAAGTCGGTCATTGCTTCGCATGCAATGGAGAACCCGCGTAGAACACAGAACAATTATTTCTATCAGGGAGGGGAGTCTCGTGGTATTAAAGAAAAAGTTATTTGTTTTTTCATTTTTAAGATAAAATTCTCTTTCTATAACGATAAATATTTGATTGACATTTAAAAGCTATTTTATAAAGATTTTCAATTTCTCTTTGCGTTTTAGCTTCGATTTTTCGGATAGAATAAAATGACAGGCAGCCTACTCCACTGGGTCGAGTTTTGCTGTGCAAATTCCTCCCGTCGGAGGGTTATGTTTACAACATAAGCTTGTCAGCTTTGCGCTGATTGGCTAGTCGCATTTTCTCAAATCACCCAG